GGGAGTCCGAACCCTGGCTGCGCTGTCAACCAAGAGCGTAAATTGAAATTTACGTTCTTGTATTATAGATGTGCTGAGTCCACACATATGAGTATTCATACCTACTCGGTACCTATTTAAAAGTATCCAATACTTTCGACACTCGGTGTCGGACTATTAAACAACTTCTAACAAAAGCGCACGACAGCCAAACGTATGGAAGAAATTTTTAGAGATAAAGCTCATTAGCGAACTTTGAGGCGATGTCTTACAACTTCCAATTGGAATAAATAAATGAATATGTATATATATATATATATATATATATATATATATATATATATATATATTATTACTAATTTTTTTTTTTTATTAAGGGGCTATGTACGGAATTCTTTGTGAATACTGAGTCCACAGCGCCTTCAGGGAGTACAGAACAAAAAATTAAATAACTGAAAGTCATTCGTTGTCGAAATTCCAGAGAACGCTTCATTTTTATGTGAACCTTTATTATTCTTTTGAAAAAAAACAAAATGGATGGGTCCGACATTGTGCAACAGGTGATTTAAGTGTACTTATATTACTACTAAGGTATATTGCATTGAATCGGTATCGGTTACCAATACCGAAACTTTGGGTACCAAGTATTGGGGCAACTCCGCACATCACTATTTTTTAAAAATGAGACTTTCATTGATGGCAATTGCAGCACATATCACAATTTCCTGAATGGCACGAGTGATTACGATGCGGTAAGTTGCGTATTTTTCTCATAGTATTTTAATGTGATATTTTTTTACCTTCTACTTTTAGCTTTCTTTGGAGATATTCCACCCAAAACCCTCATTCATCCGAGTACGGCATATTTACAACTCGCAATCGAGTTCGCCTGAAGGATGAATGAGGAATTATGGTATGCCGAATGGATAGCTTTTAAACGCGTGTTTCCACGTTACATGGAAATAAAATAGCAATCCCGGTTGGATCAATCGTCTCATTTAATTTCCTTATCGTGTACGTGTATGCAGTAAATATAAATATTTACCTATTTGCCACCACCAATAGTGTAACGTCATTAAGCGAACAAACTCATTTGGAATAGCCGGCAAAACACCAAAATCCAAAGCGAAAGAAACATCCAAAGAATTTTGACAAAAAAACGCTGTGCGCTTGAATCACCTAACGATTTTCAGAACGCGAGGCATACATCCACTTTCACGTTCTGCTGTTCTCTGCTATATTTTCCGTCTACTTGAACAATACTGTCGTGCGGTTGGTTTTCTAGCGAACATCGTAAGAAGCTATTACCTAACTGAATATATCATGTCTACTTCTGTGTATGAAGGTGTTGAAAAGGGGCCAGCCATTGAGGTGTTTGCCCTAAATCGGGCATTTTGCAGATATTCCACCCAAAACCCTCATAGTGATTTAGTGGAAAATCGTGAACTCGGAAAAAGCCAACCATTATTGAAGTATCGTGAAATATGAATTAATATAATATGAATCTTTTATGTAAAACCTATTATCTCACTAATATCTTTTCGTTTCCATTTCAGATGATGCTGGATTTAGCTAAAAAGTGTTTGCGCACGACAAATCACATGCATTTGGCCAAAACTTCTGTATCGATTGTGCGAATTTGAAGTCTTGCAGGATCTGTATCGCACAGATAAACCTTGTGTTCCAAATTTTATAGAAGATCAGTCCTTTGACGAAATACGATGGATATGTTATGAAGCTAAAAAAAAAAACTGTTTCGATCAGTTCGTTAAACAATTCGCCAAAGAAGCCATTGAAGCTAATAATAAAATGAAAACAATGGCGCAGATATCACCCCATGTAGTAGATATTATATGCCGATTGTATGATGCAACTTCAGAAGCCGCCACAAATGTGGGTTTGACTAAAAGTAATAAAACTAATCCATTTGGCCTTGAAATTAGCGTTGCCAGTGACACAGCATTGATATTTAAAAAACCTGGCGCTACATCCAGCAGTAATAAAAATTTTGGTGATGCTTTTAACGATCATGGTCATACTACCAATGCCGGATGCGTATTTGGCGGAATGGCACCTTCGACTCCTGGAGGAATCTTTGGTGGAGGTCGGTCAGCTTTTAATTTTCAAAATCAGCAGTCTTCAGTTTTTTCTCAACAACTTCCAAATGCTAGTTCCATATTCGGAGGAGGCGCCCCACAAAATCTATTTGGTCAAACGCTGACAAGTACTGATGTTACTGTTGGACGTTTTGGGCGCGCGCAGCAAGGGACCGGAGGTTTGTTCAGCCAATCATTACTACAGCAGCATCAAATTAAACCTTCGTCCATCGTAGGTTTGTGTTCTTCCCAAGCTCAACAGAACGCAGGTGGTAGTTTATTTAACCAAAGTATTCAGAAGCAGCAAATAACAAATGGGGGAAACGTTTTTACCCAATCCACGCAATCTCAACAAATGCAAACTCCGCCGAATTTTGGCATGTACCAGAGCAACAAACAGGAGGCGCAATCAGTTTTTTGTACAGCAAAATGTTTTTTCACAACAAACCCCTGGTTGCATATTTGGTCAAGTGGCACAAACTACGTCTTCTGCCAACTTAAATAATTTATTTGCTCAATCGCTCAGCGCACCAAATGGCACAGCACATTTTACTAATACAGCAGCAATACCCTCACAAAGCGTATTCGTCCAGGCATTGTGTCAAAATCAGAATACACCTGCAAACATTTTTTCTCAACCTGACGAAACAATTGCAACGACTTCTGTTTCAATGGAACCACCTACAAATTTTTTCCAACAAACCCCTCGTTCCAATCAGTCAACTGCTTTCGGGAAGCAAGTGGGTGAAAACACCTCATCTCAGGCTCTATTGCAATCACCGGTAGTAAGCAGTTCTGTTTACAGTAAATTGGCGGATCTAACACCTGACGAAATTGAAGCTTTTAAAGCGGATGCTTTTACTCCCAGGAAAATTCCAAATGTTCCTCCACCTCCAGAGTTTATCAATTAGTTTAAAACAAATTTTACATTTTCATTGGTATCCTTGGGATACTCCTCTCCTTTAAAAGTCCAACCGTAAAGCGTTAATAAATGATAGCACCATTGAAGCAATATGCAATAAAATTTAAGAAGGCACCTTAAATCTAGTGTGGACAGGAGATTGGAGTTTCTCCAGCATTGATTTATAATTTTATTTAATTTTTTGTGCGAAGTTTGCCGGCCATTTGTTGATATTTTCCCTCCAAGTCGCGAAATTTATTTTTCCTGCAATCCGGCGTGGGAAGAATATCTGCAATCCTATCAACTTTACGTGGTGTGATGCTCCCAGGGATCTGTATTGTATTCAGATTGGAAATAATCATTTTCTATATCTCCTTTGAAAATTTCGTCATTCGTTTAATACACTTTGCACTCAAAAATTCAAAAAAGATTTCGCGCTTCCCCACTTAAATGAACGCCATGTGTTTTTTTTTTCAATAAATTTCGTGTTCACTTTCAGTAAATGCGAATATTAAATCAATTTATAATATAAATTTTTTTTCAGTGCTGACATATTTTTTATTATTTTTTCATTCTATATTTGTTTGTGTAAATTTGTCCATTTTTCCATGATACAAAAAAAAGGGTAGTACCATTGTCGCTTTTTCGTCTCCATATTAACAACCTGACAATTAAGCATGATTAAATAATTAGAGGTTTGCTCATTAGTGACATTAGAGTTATGACCAGGGAACGGATTTTTAGGACCTAAAAACCTATAAAAATGGCAAAATAAAATAACGAAATAGGCTGGAAAAGGCAAAATAAAATAGCGAAAAAGGCAGGAAAAGGCACTAGGTATTGCAAAAAAGGGGAAAAAAGGGCAAAACAAAATAGCGAAAAAGGCAGGAAAAGGCACTAGGTATTGCAAAAAAAGCAAAATAAGGCACTAAAAAAAGACAGAAAATACGAAGAACAATCAAAAAATATATTTATTTTAGAAATGTTTATATTACAAGTAAAAAGAAAAAAACTATGAACTAGAATATGAAAAATTTGTACTTTGAATCTTTGACTATTTTATCCTTTCGAGTTTCTAACTCATAAAACTTTAATCTGTATAGTTGTAGAAACATTGAACCACAAGATGCATTTTGAAGTTTTCTGGCAGCATTTTCATTAGATTTTCGAGAAGAAAAGCCTTGAATGTACTAAATGTGCGCTCGACGTAAGTTGATACAAGTGGGCCCAATTTAAATATGGAACGTTTGAAACGTTCATATTATCAGGAATAAGGGCGTTTTCCTCGCCCTTTACAATTTTATCCACACCCCTTATTATCTCCAAGCCTACGTGAGCTGAGCAAACGGCTTTGAATTTTTCCTACACCAATTTGGCAAGAGGTCCCTGCGCTTCTATAAGCCGCATGGGCGTGTGTATATCTTTTAATCTTAAAAAAAAATTGTAAATGCTATAATCACTTTTTAAAGGTAGAAAAGGCAAAAAAGGCAAAGATCTTAAAAAAGGCAAAAAAGGCAACATCAAATGTGTATATATAGAATCAGGGAAAGCTAAGGGTGGTATTATCACTTGCGAAGCGAATGATTTTGGCGAAGCGAACGGTTTGGTGGAGCGAATTTAAGGGCAGGGAAGGCATTAAAAGTTTTCGCGATGCAAAGAACTTCCACAAGCTGGTAAAAAAGAACACTCTTAATGCATATTTAAGTTGCGTCCGCCAATCCATTCGCTTCGCCAAACCGTTCGCTTCGCCAAATTCATTCGCTTCGCAGGTGATAATACCGCCCTAAATCGTGGACATTCTTAATCGAATATACTCTATCTCTTTAGCAGAAAAAAAGGCAATTTCCATAAAATCCGTTCCCTGGTTATGACACTCCTTAGCTCCCTTACAAAAGCTTTGCACACACACACGAACCCACAAACAGTGCCTTGCTAAGGGGGAAGATTTTGTCAAGAGGGAGCGAGAAAACTGTTGTTTGAGCAAACCTTTTATTATTGAATCATGACAATTAAGGAGATTGTGACATTTCGTTCTACCATACCCAATATCTAAAATCGTAAAAATTGTGTTATTATTTGTTTGTTTATTTACTAACATTTTGTTCTTAGAATCGAAATTTGAACAGGCAAAAGGTATTTTACTGATACAATAGTATTGGGTTATTGGGCCGTATGCATAAAAACTGAGCAATTGCTTTTTCTTAAAATATATTTTTCACTTAAATTTATTTGAACAACTTTAGTACAAGGTCTGAGATTTTAAGAAAAAGCATTTGCTTAGGTTTTATGCATACGTCCCATTGTGTCCAAACGCTTTACCCAGGGCAAAAAAAATTTAGCACAGACGTGTGGTCAAACAATTAAACGTTAGTTTAAAATAAAGATTTAAAATTTTCAGATACAAATTTATGAATAAATTCGGTTTGAAATATGGTCTTTTTTGTAAAAAATATTGTGGTCAGCGTAGCCGGAGTTGGACTTACATTTTCTCTGTCAAAATGTTAATTTTACCCCATTTTTCAATGAATCCCTCCCCACCCCAAAACCGGTGCGTAAATAACCGAACATTTCCCCTTTTGTTTTTGAAAGAGAAGAGGTCTAATGCTCAATAAGATGATAATTGTGTTTCTAGTTTTCATACTAACAATAAATCATCAATGTTGGTTCACACCCCCTCCAACATTGAACAGTAAAATATTTTTATTTTTACGCAAAGAAACAACGATATCGTCGAAATATACTAGAATTGGATAATGGTGCATTTACATGGTATGAATCTGTTCATAAGCCGTATGAATTTTCCTATAAAAGAAGCACCCACTCTATGAAGAAATGAATGAAAGCGATATATATTTAATAATTTTGACTTAAATAGTTGGCAAGAATTCTTTTTGTAAACAAACAAAATTTCATTGTGTGCTAACTTTGAAACTAAATAGAAGCTTATTTTTTTTTATGTGCTTTAAAAAGGACCTACTGCCCATAAAGCCTTGTGAATTGCTATTTTTTCAAATGGGTAAAATGCCTCAATTCAAACATATTTGTAGATAAACTATTTTTTGTTCAGAAATTGCTTGTTTACGTTTTTTGTCTTTCATATCAAAAACGTTTGGCATAAGTTGAAATCGTAGTGATGCCGTTTTCTTTGGTTTCTCAATGGATTTTTTACTTGAAAAAGCACCAAAATATATATGCAATACTTCTACATATCGTCGTTTAAAGTACAACACCGCGCATCAAGAAAATGCAAAACCTCGGTATGTGAGGTTGCCTAAATTTTATAGCAGAGTAAGACTTGTCCTAATTAAAAACGGTTCTCTCTTTTAAACTCAATTATCTCTTCTTCTTATGTCTAAATATCGATATTTTATTATAAATGGCTAAGGGCTTGATGTCAGGAGCTTCCGGTGACCAAATATCCTTTTTGCACAAATTTTAGTTTCGAGGTTTTGCAGAGCCACGATACGCGCTTTTGTACTTTAAACGACGGCGTTACGCAATACGTTAGTGTTTGGCCAAGCTTCTCCTTCGATATGGGACGTGCGCCTTGATTTTGTGACAAAGACTCCGAACGACAATTGTACAGAATACACTCGGAGGTTAACTATTACCGACAGAGGGGCAAGCGCTATTAAACAATTTTTTGTTTTTTACATTTTAATGTTGGTGGGAAACTAGGCTTGAATCAGTGTTGGCACTAATCGATTGATTTTTTAATCAATTAGTTAATTGGATTAAATTCAAACCGATTACAGTTAATCATGATTAATTTTAATCTGATTAAACAGTTAATCGTAACCACGATTATACAAATTAATTTTTAATCATTAACCCTTAATCTGATTAAGTAGATTTGGTGATTAATTAATTTATGCTGGAATTTTCCTGTGAACAAAAGTCCAGTTAGTCGGGTATGGCTAAGTCGGTTTTCCTCATCTAAGCGATTTCGTGTGCATTTTTATTAAGATCTGTTCCAACAGACGTTTTACAAACTAAGTTTTAATATCCCTTTGCACATGTGCGCTGGGTTGTAAAAGTTCCCAGTTTATGTATTACTAATAACAATAATTGTAACTTTTTTTATATTATGTGCTTTTTATAAGCATAAAACACGAAATAATTACTGTAACTCGCGTTTGGTCTCGAATTCGAATAAACTAGACAACAGATTTTCTTTTTAACTGGATTAATCGCTCAGTTGATTACGATTAATTAATTTTAATCGTCAATCACGATTAACATTTTAATCGTCAATTTTTAATCAATAATCAGATTAACATTTTGCCAACACTGGCTTGAACTCAGGCGCTGCGTATAGCTCTACAGCAGCCACCACTACTTTACATATATTGCTGGTATTGAAAAGAGTTCACATGTATAAATTAAAAGATATAAATTAAGCAATTACAACGCTAAACAAAAGGAAAAGTTAATTCGTTAACTCTCTGACCTTTTAAGATATGACACCCCATTATTTGCAGTAGTTTGCAAATATACACTAATTGCTCTAAAATCGCATACATTTTCGTGGGATGTTTTTCTTTGATTTCGAATTGAAAATACATTATGATCATATTGTACTGAAATAAGTGCGGTATCCCTGCATTTTGTAAAAGCTAGAAAGAAGCATAAACTGTATGAAAAAATGAAAGGTAGAAGTATACATGCCTTCTATAATTTTGACTTATATGTATATTTGGCAAGTATTTGTGTAAACAACAAAATATACACACCTTCATTTCTTTGCCAGCTTGGAAAATATAGGCTTATTTTTACTTAAATGTGATATAAAGCTCATTAAAATGTTCTGTAATGTCTTGTTTTAAGTTTGTTATCATAGTGTCTTGTATTTTTATTGTCCACTATAAGTGAGTTGCTTCTATTGAAAAAGTTCTTGTACAATTAATTTCTTTGTTTTGAATTTGTTTTTTTATTGTTTTTAATTTTTAAAATTCATACTTTTGACATGTATGTGAATGGCGGAGTTACCGCTTTCCCACTTTTCGGTGGCAGTTTATATTAAAAAGGCATCAAAATGGGAAACAACTTCCTTGGTATCTCTGCATCTGGTAAACTTTTTATGGGAAGATGTATGAAAATCCAACTTGCTATAATTTCATATGCTTAACAGTATCACAACAGTATGTTTACAGTATCTCCCCATAACTTTTCATATGAAAAAATGTTTTATATGCATCCCACTCGATATCATTGAATTCCTCATTAGAACATGTAGTCCCTCTATTTTAGCGTATCAACAGTTCACATGGCTTCATACCATGTAAATGCACCATAATACTCACTTCTCTGAAAGTCATGAGGCCAATGGGCCCAAAGTAAATTCCGTTTTCAAGTTACTTGAAAGGCATCGAAATGTGTAAGTTCAGTGTCTGAATTATATCAGAAACAATCGTATCCTACATAGAAAACTAATAGGCAATTTATATGAACAAAAGTTGAACGAAAGTAGGCAGCCGACCAACTTCATTGAAAGCGATTAGTTGAAAGGCCGTTTCCACCAGGCGATTGTTGCTTTCAACTAAAAATCCCCTGAAAAATCGCCTCATGTAAATTCCCTATACCAGTCGCTAGTTACATTGTGAAATATTCAGGTGACGTAATGACACTAAAAAAAATTTAAATTATGTTCACTAAAATTTTATTAATGTAAAAATAAAGATTTTGGCAAGTAGTTATCGAAATTAATGTAAAATTTAAACGATTTTAAGATAGTATATTTATTATTTTTGAAGGTAAATGTTAATACAACTATATTATTTATACTCCCAAATTTAGGATATAAAATCCCCTACACCAAAAAACTTAAATTGGGTAACGCCACCTCGAATTTTTTACAATTGAGCAATTGTCAAAAATCTCCCTTTTAATCAAAAAGTTGTTTATTGAAACTACCTTCTTTTTTGTATCATGCATTTTACTGGAGTGCCTGAGCTTCATTTGGGAGGGCGTTTGCTTTGCACCATCGTATATACTTACAAGTATGGAATCCTATGCCCCTTTTTGTCTATTCTCTTTCTAACAGCGAACGTGCCTGCCAAACAGCGGACGTGCCTGCCAAACTGAAAAGCATGATGGCGGCAGTGTTTGACAGGCACGTTCGACGATGCGAACGGCAATGGAAGGTAAGGAATGGAAGATGGAATAGCAGAATGTCGAACCAAAACGAATTTCAAAAATCTGACAATGCGAATGACGTCAAAATGAAAGAAATGCAAAGTAGCGAAATGTCGAAACAGAAGAAATTGATGACAGGCACGTGTTCAAGGGTTTCGTGCAACAAAAAGTTGCAAGTTAAGTTGATGTGTTGCGCCATTCAATATTAAAAAAAATTTAATGTGGTTAAATGCGCTTTTTTATTAAGTTGAAAAAAACTACATATTTCGGCAGCCGAAAAGAGTATAAATAAATATATAGCATCTTGCTATAAGATTTATTTATAAAAACGGTATATGCTTATGGCCTTATTCATAAAAAATAAAATAGATTTAAAGAGCTCTCTCTATACAGTAACATTAAAAAAAATAGATTTGTTTACTTTTTAAGAATATTGGTATAACATTTATCTTAACTTTTTGTGCACCCATCTCTTTTTCTGTTTATTATTCTCAAATTTTTCTTTCCTTAATACTCATTTGACTGAGTTTCAATTACACCCAGTAAAAATCATGATAAAAACATTAGAAAGTAAAACCATTCTCTCAATTGGTCGGCCATGATTTTTTCTGACGTTTGCAAACATTTTAAGATCATAAAATTGAAAATGAAAAAATGAAATTGTTCACAATTGTTGTTTGAGATTAAAAATGAGAATGTGTGTATGAGCTTGAGTTCGAATTTTAAAATTATATTGCTGGCAGACGTCAGAATGTAGCTCAACGATTTTACCTTGTAATGTTTTTATCATGGTAAAAATCTAAATATTTTATAAGAAATTTGTTGACCGTTTTATAACGGCATTTAAAGCTTTTTTTTGTTCAAATTGAAAAGATTTCCTCCTTCGCACACTTCTCATGCTTTTTTATAGTAGTTATTATTCTGTTGACATCTAAATTGCCATACATTTTATGTCGTTGCCAATACATTGTTTTTCGGCGTTTCCTCTGTGAACTTTTATAGCTACATTCATAAAAATATTACAAATTTTGGTTTATAATTTTTTTCCGTCTTGCTTTTGCTGAACATCAAAAAGGAATTAATAAATAATAAAAAGTTAGTTACAATTTTAGTGAATGGTTCTTGCAAATAATAGTATTTTGTGGTTGAAATGATTTGATCGCCGGCAGGAACTAATCAACTTTTTTGCCAAAACCAAAGCAGACGGGAATGAAAAATAGTTGTTCATTAACGATTTGTCCGAAATATCGTTCTTGAAACTCGCTACTGCTCACTAAATTTGTAAAAATCAAATTTTTTCACTTAATTGTTATATTTCTTCATTGTGGTAAATTTCCACAGCAGCTGGCTGTCAAACCGAAACCAAAAAAGATACCAGAACATTCAGGGCGCAATCTTTTTCTATGATTATTGTACTGGGGCCCTATTCTATAACTCGATTCGAAAATAAATTTGCTCGAATTCGGATTTTTTGTACTTGGTAACTCTATTTTCGCATTTGCAATTCTAATTTCGAAAACTGGCAACTATGTAACTCGAATTTGAATGACAAATTCATTCGATCTTCGCAAATAATACTCGTTAGCGTTTGAGCTGTAGAAACGGAATACTATTTGAAAAATGCAAGTATTTTAATAATTTTTTATTAAGTATAACAACTATAAACGTAAAATATTTTACAATAGGGATTCATCCAGCAAAAGCCAGCATACAAAACAAAGCCAATTTGGAATTATGGTGGAATTCATGGAATCGCATCCAAGTTTGGCCAAAGGCTACATAAAGTGCGCTGATGCTAAGCAAACTTCCAAGAATTTGTGGGGACGGCTGACGGAAGAGTTAAATGGAGATGGACCACCTACGCGGGATGCATCTTCATGGAAAAAGGTAATTTTAGTGTGAGCCAAATAATGTTAACTCTTAAAGCTGCAACACGAGCCGCGCGTCATATGACCTATCAAAGTACCGTTTTCAAGGTATAACGGTTATGATAAATAGCCGTATGCTAATGAACCGCTCAATGAAGTACAGTTTTAATAAAGCAAAAGAAATTAAATTTTAGCAAATGTTACATTTGAAATATATTAAAAAACAACAAAAAATATAAATGCATTTAATTTATGTAATGAAAAAGAGTATTTTTTAAACATACGACGGCACTATGAATGGAATTTCGTTTATTATTAACTATAATTATTATTTTTTATTTACATATTTAAGGTTTGGGCGGATTACAAGACCCACCTCAAAGCCAAAGTTCGCAAAAATAAGTTGCACATGTCCGGAACTGGTGGTGGCCCTGCAAAAATTAGTTCCCTTAATTCGGTGGAGTTAAGGGCAATGGAGTTGTTGCAAATAAATGAAGCAGTAGATGGAATAGCCGGTGCTCAAAAATTCGGTGCAGGAAGTGAAGCCACAAACAGCAACGAATGTGAAACTGCTCCAACCACTCCTCCTTCCTATTCCCTGGTGTCACCCAATTGCAGTACGGTGCGGTCCCGAACTCAAAGCAAAAGCAATCTTTTGAAGATGCAAGTGGATGGGCAAAAAAATTCTACAAAGATTGTACTCGCATTTTAAAAGACGTCAATTACAATTTAAAATCAATAGCAAAAACAAATAAGAAATCTGTGGAACAAATGGAAGAGAGAATAGAAATAGAGAGACAAAAACTTAAATTCGCAAAATTAAAACATGAATACAAAGTAAAAAGCGACATGGAGAGAAACAAAATTAGAATTTCAAAACTTAGACTGAAGCAACAGCTGCTAGATGTTAATACACGTAGAGATTAATATACATACATATCAAATATTTGCCTTGTAAGTACATATGTACACTTGAAGAAAATTTTTATGTTTATTTTTATATATAAATACATATGTATGTAATAGAACCACAAACATATTCATATATTATTCTCAAATAAATAAATAAAGAAAATGTACTTGTTGTAAAAAGTTCTTTAATTGCATTGATTTTACTACACATATTTACGAAATTTAAATTAGGAAACCAAGCTATTTTTAATTCGGTCTCGTACAGTTTGTGCCATACGTAAAAATTCGTTCTCTTCTATATCGGAGTTGGTCGATAAAGCTAAATTTGAGCCTTCTTCATCGCTCTCAATAATAGTTGGTGGTTCAACATTATGGCCCTTATTATGAGCTGCATTCGTTTTTCGATCTTCGCTGGCTATCGAAGATCGAAAGTGAAATTCGTATTATGAGCTATGCAGGCGTGTCGAAATTTTCGTTGAGTATCGAATTTTCTGTCGAACAGAATTTTGCTTTCGATGGTGTAACGAAGTGTTAGAAAATTGTGAAAAATGTATGATTTTGCATATGTTTTCTTACATTTTGGCGGCTAGACACTAATTTTAAACAATTTTTATTAATTTCATGCAGTTCTAACATCGTGAATACTAAACACAAGCTCGAAAGGCTGGTTTTACTTGTGAAAGAAAATCCCAATGCTCTGTTGGCTCGATCTCTGAGAACAAAATCGTAGCGCTGTTGATAGTTTTAAAATATTTTAAATAGATTTGGCTCACAAACGCCTCTTTAGATGGTCGGAACTTTTTAATGAATCTGTAGACAAATTTCTTAAATATATTTTATATCAAAATATATTCGAAAGACTAATAAACTTAAATGTTTAAGAGAGCATTTGCTACTCCTAGCCAGTTTACTAAGCTCTCATCCTCTGACGAATCGTTGAACCAGAACTCGTACTCATTTTACCACGTTTTTATAAAATTGCTTTCTTTTTTAATTCATATTAATTAGAACAAATTTGCATAAATATGTATAAGCACACTATTTTGTTTGCTCGATTTGTAAACAAAGCTTCTCAGCGGTGAAACATATACTATTGTGAACAACCTAAACGAGCGAAATTCACAATAGCGCTATTCTTCATCCAATGAGCGCCATAATACCAAATGAAAATTCGTTCGCTCAGCACTTTCGACCACAGTCGAAAATCGAATGCAACTCATAATAGGGGCCTATATGTAAGGCAAATGTTATGCAGTGCACAACAAGCATTTAAAATTTTTACTACTTTTTCGGGTGTATAATGAAGCTCTCTTCCAGCAAGTAGGCAACGAAAGCGACCTTTTAAAATTCCAAACACTCGTTCTATTATCGATCGCGCTTTGGTAAACCTTTCATTATATAACATTTCTGGAGAATTTTCTTCTGCGTTACGGTAAGGTGTGAGGAGCCATGGATCTAATGGATATCCAGAATCACCTTGAAAATAGAAGATAATGCATGC